TTTATGGTTTTTTAAATATGTCTATCATACTTCAATACCTTAATTGATTATATTTCTTTACAGATAAGTATTATCTTTGTGATGCCGCGTATGGACATACACGAGGATTTATGGCTCCATATCGTAATGTGAGGTATTGGCTTGGAGATTTTCGTCGGAGACGTGCATTGACCAATAAAGAGAAATTTAACCATGCACATGCAAAACTTCGAAACGTTATTGAGCGTGCTTTTGGTGTTTTGAAAGCCCGATTCCCTATATTGAAGAGGATGGCACCATTTCCGTTGGTTACACAAAGGAACATTGCCATTGCATGTTTCGCGCTACATAATTTTATAAGGAAAGAGGGCTTGAGCGATGACTTCTTTACAAAATATGATCAACTAAACGTGTCATTAGGAAATCGTCGTCGGCACGTTGATGTTGATGAAGAAGAGGTTGAAGTACACGGTACTGCAGCAGATCGTGAATATATGATCAAGTTACGAGATGAAATTACCGAGCACTTAATGCAAAGTGCGGAATAAATTATTTGAAATATTGTTATTATTGTTATTTTAAAAAATGCTATTGTTGTTATTTCATTGTTGTAGAACTCTTGTTTAAATTTGAATGTTTAAAAATATTGATTGCTTTAAAAATCTGTTTATTTTAAATTTCTGTTTATTCAAATAATCTGCAGAAGTTAAAAAACAAACAGTCTTCCTCTTGCAGACTGCAGACCTTTGGTCCACCTCTTCTTCTGCAGATGTGTGCAGATGTGGTCTGCAGACTGCAGACCTTTTTCTGCAGAAAAAACAAACAGCACCTTAATAAATGGTAATGGTGAGTTTAACGTTTGAATCAAACTGGATAAATTTTAGAATGCAATTAAATAAATGTCTGGACATCCCAGGCTTGCTGATTACGCAGGTCAAATTGACCGGAAGAAATTACGAAGAATGGGCAAGGGCCATGAGAATCGCCCTTCGCGCTAAGAGAAAGTTCGGGTTCATACCCTGCCCCGAGGATGACGCCGACGAAGTTGAAGAACGGTAGATCGTGAACGCGATGCTCGTTTCGTGGATCTATAACACCATCGAGACAGATCTGCGGAACTCTATCACACAAGTGGAGGTAGCCGCAGACTTGTGGAACGACATAAAAGCGAGGTTCTCTGTGGCGAATGGTCCACGCATTCATCAGTTGAAGAAGGAGCTCGCGAACACCAAGCAAAACGGTCGGGAGATCGTTAAACATTATGAAAAAATAAAGAAAATTTGGGATGAGCTTTATGATATGTTGGAGGCGCCGACTTGCAAATGTGGAGGCTGCAAGTGCGGCCTGACCACTCTGTTCGAGAAACAACGTGATGAAGAAAAGGTCCATCAGTTTTTGATGGGTCTAGATAATGAAGGTTATGGGAGCCTTCGCTCAAATATTCTCAGCACTGAGCCCCTTCCCTCGATCAATCGAGTGTACTCCGTGATAACCCAACAACAGGGAGTATTGAAGCTAACAATCGAAGAGGAGCAAAATTCAGTAGGGTTCGCCGTGGCTGCCGGTAGACCGACTCGAGACAATAGTCTTAAATGCAAACACTGTGGACAAACTGGCACGAGATAAGTGGTTTCTTCCAAATCATAGGTTATCCGGAGTGGTAGGCGGATAGACCACGCGTGCAAGGAGGGGGTCGTGGAGGTAGTCGCGCTGGCGGCATGCAACATGGCAGACGTGGCGGCAGGGGGGCGCCACTGCTGGGCGTGGCAACATGAACCGAACAGCAGACAGAACCGAACAGACGAGGGACAGAACAGCCGCGGCACACTTCGCGGGTCAGACTAATGTGCAGTGTGAAAACCAATTCTCATGTACGACCAATGGCTCTTGGATTATAGACAGTGGTGCTAGCGAACATATGACCGAAGATAGACACAGATTGGTGAACATACGAAGTATCAAAGAGTGCAGAGTGGGTCTACCTAATGGAGAGAGCGCAGAAGCTGTGCGAGTGGGAGATGTTGTGTTAAATATATTTTTAACACTGGCCGATGTTTTGCTAGTGCCTAAACTCAATTGCAATCTAATTTCTGTCTCTCAACTTCTTGAAAAGGAACGAATAATTGTCCAGTTTACTAACAAATTTTGTATAATACAGGAATGTATCTCGAGGATGGTGATTGGAACGGGTGAGCAAGCTGCTGGTCTTTACTATCTTATCCAGGGAGTGCATAACAAGGTGTGTGCTGTGCGAGCGACGAAGGATTTTACCGTATGGCATCAACGACTTGGTCATCCCTCTCTAGAGATTTGTCGTTTTCTTCCTTTTTTGTTCTTCTTCTTCTACTCAAGATGTTTTTGTAACGCCCCAAAACATACCCTAGAATTATTAATAAATAATTATTCGATAAAAACAAATTTGTTTTGATTAAAATAAATTGTTGTTGGGCTTTGGGCCGATAGAAAATATGTTTTGATATCCAATATCATAAGCAGGGTAAATCTCATAGAGATAAACCCAAATTGTTGACTATTTGTGTGGTCTTGATTGGGAACCTGAGTACAGACCCAAATCAAGAATAAATGAAGAAATTATATATGATGTGAACTTTGAAATGATTTATTGAAATAAATCATTAGAACAAATGATATGAATTAAATGTGAGAAACCTTTTTGAATAAAGATCAATTAAATCAATTTTGACTCAGTCAAAGTCAAACACCCAAAAATATGATGTCTGAAAAAGTATAACGAATAAATATAAAAATTATATTGTTGGATAGAGTTTAACTGTCCGATCGCAACGGTGCAAACGGAATTCAATTTGGAGAAAGTTGGACCAAAAAGTGTACCCCGACTGGAACCAAATTGGTCCCAATCAGGGAACTGCGTGTAGATCAATTAGAATCACCGTCCTGCGCACTAAGGAATTTCTACGTAGAAATGAGTCAGCTACCAATGTCTTCTTCCCCTTCTCTTCTCCTATATAAGGATATCCAATCCTTACCCATTCTTCACCAATTTTCTGGAAATATATACCATTGTGTTCATAAGAGTAAGGAGAGCAGTCTGGTGTTGTTGGTTGCCGCCGAAGTCGTCGGAGTTGGGAGTAAGCGTTGCCGGAAGTTTCGCCGGAAAATTCTCAAAACCTTCGTTAAGCTTCGAGGTAAGCTCGTTGATATATCTAATGACTAGAATGTTCGTATAGATCGTTTCTACGTTCATAAACGGTCGTTTGGTTGAGTTTTGTGTTTGACATGCTTGAAGAATCAAGAATCATAAACCATGAATTTGATGTTAAAACTATGAATTAATAATACCAAAATGATCTATGAACCTTGTAGAACATTTCTATATAGTTTAATGGAAGTTCGGAAACTAAAAATGGGATTTTCGAAATTGTTGTCGCGAGGTAGAAGACGATGAACAGTGGCTGAAAAGCCACTGTCTGGATCGATCCTCTCACTTGGATCGATCCTCTGGGAGTATTTTTCCATAGTATGGATCGATCCAGAGGGCTGGATCGATCCCCCGAAAATCTGATCCGAAAATTTGTCTGAAAATGCTATTTTTGAACTCTAAAATCCTATTTTTGATACCAATTGATTATGATCATTATAAAAATGATTTACCACAATAAAAATGATGTTTTTGACAAATAAAATGTTATGTGATGCATGACGATAAGTTCGGGTGTTAACACTCGAAGCTAGGCCGCTATTTGCTATCGAATGTTATGTTGATTGATGATTATGATGAATGATTGTTATGATGATTATGACTTGAGGAAACCACTGATTAAATGATTATCAAGGATTAAATTATGAATTGAAATGAATATGTTGATGATTATGAAATGATTTGGATTGTAAGGATATCTAGAAGAACTCTAAGATATACCTAGGATGACTTTGGTTTCTAAGACTATCTAGAAGACCTCTAAGATAGCTTAGAAATAGGCCTTGCGGGTATAATCATGAGTATTCGGTGGCCTGGGTTAAAACGTACGTACGGGATCTACAAACCAAACTTGAGGCACTCGTTTGGGGATACCACCCAACCCGACAGTGAGCATTTCGGATCCGCTGTTCGGTTTTTGGATGACCTTAATCGAAGGTAAGTTTAAGATTTTGAAAACCTCTTTTGAAAATTTATATCTTAAACTAGGCCTAGCTTAAGGGTTAGATAAGAGTACCTTAAACTTGAATATAGTTTAACTATCTTAAACTAGAATTCGTTTAAGAGTTGGAAAATATCAAATAGATTGACCTTAGACTAAGAATAGTTTAAGGATATTGTTGAATGACGAATGATGAATATTATATGATGAATATACATATTGAATGATTGAATAATGAATTGATTATTGATGATTGAATATCTAAACTGGACATTATGTGCATGATATCAAATGATTTGATTATGAATTAAGTTTCTGTTTATATGGATGTTCGACGCGTTAGATATGCTTACTCAGCTTTACCGCTGAGCGTGTAGTATGTTTTATTTGCTACACGCAGGTTAATAGAAAGAATGATGTGACGTGATTCTAGAGGCAGACGGAGGCGAGATTGTCGGAATGGATGTGATGGTTTTGAATTAAAGAACATAAATAAATTATGTTTGTAGTTATGATTTGTTAAGCTTCCGCAATATTAAAAACTCTGTATTGTTTATGATATGAAAATATTATTGTGATAAATAAAAGTGTTTGAAATGTTTTAAATTTTACGATTACCAAGTTAATACTTTAGTCCGAAAGGGGCTACAGACCTGGACGGATTAGGGTGTTACAGTTTTACCTTGTGATGTATGTCTTCGTGCTAAACAATGTCGTGATTCTTTTCCCATCAGTTTAAATAAATCAGATGTTCCTTTTGAAATAATACATTGTGACCTATGGGGGGTACCGTACACCTTCACGTACTAGTGCCAAATATTTTTTTACCATTGTTGATGATTTTTCACAGGCAACCTGGGTATATCTTTTAACCCACAAAGATGAGGTGCACACCATTTTGCACAATTTCTTCTCCTTTGTTTAGCGTCAGTTTAATGCCCAGGTCAAGACACTCTGTAGTGACAACGGAAGTGTGTTCACGTGCATGAAACCATTTTTTGCCTCCCAAGGTATAATATTTGAGTCCTCTTGCGTCGGCACCCCCCAACAAAATGGGAGAGGTGAACGCAAGCACATGCATATCCTCAACGTTGTATGAGCCCTCTGGTTTCAAGCCAACCTTCCTATACAGTACTGGGGTTATTGTGTCCTTACTGCAGCATATCTTATTAATCGTACACCCACTCCTCTCTTACATGGTAACACCCCATATACCATTCTTTTTGGTCAAGAACCGTCCTACGCTCACCTGTGAACTTTTGGGTGTCTTGCTTATGCACACAATCAGGTAACACATGGGGACAAGTTTGCTAGCCGTTCGCGTCGCTGTCCTTTTCTTAGGTATCCTATTGGCCAAAAGGGATGGCGACTGCAAGACCTTGAAACAAACAAAATCTTTGTGAGCTGTGATGTTAAATTTGTTGAGCACTCTTTTCCGTTCGTTCCATTTCCCCAGCCTCAGTCACCCTCCATTCCTCTGGTGGACGAGTTCGTCGATGACGACCTGCCTGCCATTCCCACACCCCACAACACAAACATCAGCCTTCCTCCTAAACCACCCGAATTACCCCAGCCCGAATTGCCCCAACCCATAACACCACACGACGCCACACCTCATATTCCCACATCTGATCCGTCTTGCGCTGACCAACCCCATGCCGACCAGCCCACCATTCTTTCCAATACACCCATATCTGAACACCCTCAACTACCGATTCCTGACATTCCTCAGGATGGGGAACCCAATCGCCGAAGTCATCGTGATCGTCGTCTCCCGTCACATCTCCGTGATTTTGTCATGCACACAGGATGTAATACACCAGCTTGCTCCAACACTCCGATCCCCACCTCAGGTACTGCACACTGTATTACTAAATTTGTTAACTATGACAATTTTTCTCCTACACACAGAAGTTTTTTGGCAGCAATTACTGCAGATGAAGAACCCACTAGCTTTAAAGAAGCAGTCAAACATGCACAATGGCAGGCGGCCATTAAAGACGAATTGGAGGCACTTGCCGCTAACGACACTTGGTCGCTGGTTCCTCTTCCTCCACACAAAAAGGCAATCAGGTTGAAATGGGTGTACAAAATCAAACATATATCTGATGGCAGTTTTGAATGTTATAAAGCTCGCCAAATAATTTTTGGCAACCGTCAGAAGGAAGGTATTGATTACAAAGAGACATTTGCCCCCACTGCCAAACTTGTGTCTGTTCGGGCTCTGCTACCAGTGGCAGCCCTTCGGTGTTTGAGTCTTCACCAAATAGACGTCCACAATGCGTTTCTTCATGGAGATCTCCGAGACGAGGTTTATATGCAGCTCCCCCCGGGGTTCGCCTCTCAGAGGAAAGGCTTAGTTTGCCGCTTGCACAAATCTCTTTATGGCCTTCGTCAAGCACCACGTTGGTTGTTCTCTAAACTAACCACCGCTCTCCGTGCATATGGCTTCGTTCAGTCCAAGGCGGATTATTCCTTGTTCAATCTTGTTCATGGTCACGAGGAACTTCACGTTCTTATATATGTTGATGACTTGGTGCTTGCAGATAATGATGAAGCATTTATGTCTCAATTTAAACATTATTTGTCTGAATGTTTTCACATGAAGGACCTTGGCTTGTTAATATATTTTCTGGCCGTCGAGGTTGCTCGTATTTCTGAAGGGTTATTCTTATATCAACGAAAATATGCTCTTGATATTCTCTCTGACAGTGGTCACTTGGGCTGTCGTCCGGCCGCCACTCCGCTTCCAGCCAATCATCGTCTCGCCCTGGCTGATGGTCCTCTCCTTTATGATCTTTCTTAGTACAGAGGTTTGGTTGGACGCCTTATCTATCTCACCATCACACGGCCGGACCTAACTTATGTCATTCACATCTTGTCTGAGTTCATGGCTAGTCCATGCCGTGAACACTCGGATGCCGCTCTCCACACCATCCGCTACATCAAAGCTCAACCTGGGCAAGGGCTTGTCCTCTCTGCTTCAGGATCTCTTCAACTAACAGGTTTTTGTGACTTGGATTGGGCAAGTTGCCCGCTTACTCGTCGCTCTGTCTCAGGGTATTTTATTTATCTAGGTGATTCTCCCATTTCATGGCGCACGAAGAAACAGAAGACCGTGTCACGTTCATTGGCAAAGGCCAAATAAAGAGCCATGGCGACAGCTGTATGCGAGCTCAAATGGCTCCGTAGCTTGATGCTTTCACTTGGCGTCTGTCACTCCCAACCAATGACTCTCTTTTGCGACAATCAGGCGGCTTTGCACATTGCGGGTAACCCTGTGTTCCACGAACGTACCAAACATATTGGAATTGGTTGCCATTTTGTTTGTGATGAGATACACCGTCGCATCCTCCGCATCAGACATATATCTTCCGCTGACCAACCTGCAGATATTTTTACCAAACCACTTGGCGCCGTTTCGTTTAATCATTTGTTGTCCAAGCTGGGCACTCGAAATCCGCATGGTCCAGCTTGAGGGGGGAGGGTGTTACGGATTGGCTATCGTGGGGTACACGGCACACGGCGGAAGGCAAAGAGGAGTTTTACTCTTAATTTGATTGTTTTTCCTTATTATGTAGACTTATTTTCCTATTAGAGTTTGGAAACTTTTCTTCCTATATATTGAGGGAAGATTCCTTGTATTAGGGGTGAGCAAGTACCGAACCGATACCGAAATTTCCCAAAAAAACCGAGAATACTGAACCGAAAAATACCGAACTGAAAAAGTACCGAGAAGGAACCGAACTAAATGGTCGGTACGGTATTTGGGAACGATACGAGGTGACGTCCCATACCGAAAATCCTGAACCGAACATATATACTAAAATATTATAAAAAATAATACCCCGGAGTAATATATTTATATTCCTTCACTAATTAATAATTTTTTAAAAAAAAAATTGGTTCAAGTTCTATTATGTGTAAATTATACTTTTATTTGAGTTTTAGTTTTTGTGTAGGAACATAAAAGTATTCAAAAAGATTCGAATTACTCCTTTGTTGTCATTCATTTTTTTAGTTTGTGAAATATAAACTAAGTTTTGATGCGCATCTCTTGCATTTAAATACTCCCTCCGTCCCCCATAGATCTTCTCAATAGCCTTTTTTCTTTGTCCACAATAGATCTTCTCATTTCATTTTTTAACAATTAAAATACCACAACTACCCCCACTTACTTTATTTATTACACCTCACCCACCTCATTTAATACACTCCATCCATTTTCATTAAGGGTATTATGGTAAACTTTCACATTTTTTCAACTCTCCTTAAAAACCACCAAAAGTCAAAATGAGAACATCTTAGGTGGACGGAGGGAGTATTCATTTTTTAAAAAAATTTTCATGTTTTTTATTTAAATTCACTTTTAATTTTCAAAAACAAAGAGGCGTTGTTAAATTTTAAGGTGTAAAGTAGGTATTTATATTCATCCCGATTTGTACCGATACCGAATCATACCGAACCGATATTTCAGGATCGGGATCGGCACAGAGTAAAATCCCATATCGAACCAAAATATTTGGTACGGTATTGGTACGAGCTAAATACCGTACCATATCGTACCATGATCACCCCTACCTTGTATCAAACAACACAGCAATAACAAAATTCCTTTCCTTCTGTTTGCGTTTCGCGTACGATTTCACAATATTAGATTGAATAAAATTCCTAATCCATCAGTAATAGATCTCAATTATATATATAATTGGTAAATCAGTTGAGAAGCATGGAGAATCTAATTTTGAATTCAAATTCAATGAAATCTAAAATTTAAACAAGAAAACTAAAAAAGATGATGAAAAAGATGAAGAGTGATACAGAATCCACTCCTAATTGGCTAAATCCACTTCGTTTTATAAGAAATGGATACTTGTGGTAAACTTGTTCATTTGATACAAAAAGAATTGGATACAACCAAATAATATGATGTGGATTTAGAAATAACCAAACATGAATTGCACAACAAAATTTACTACTTCAATATCTGGATGTCCAAACTTCAAGAAACACAAGAGCTACAAATGTCGTTGCAACCCGCCCGAATGAACTTTGAATCCTCGATGCTTTGCCAATTTCGCCCGCGGGTCCCGAAGGCGGTGATGTGGATGGGCAAGCAGGCCTGGTCGAGTTGAGTCTGTTCCGAACAATATACAGAGGTGTTAGAAATAAAACCTAAAAGAGAGACCCAACTGGGTTTGATTCATTAGCACATATATAGGCTCTCACATTTGGGTAAACCTGCATGACCCATAACCTGCTCAATGACACCACAAGAAAAAAGGTTAAGTGTTCATATGTAACCCAATTATAAGTGAAATGAACAAATGACTAGTTTTTGAGTTGTATGCTAAAAGTTTAACTTTATAATTTTCTCTCTAATAAAAGGGTTCAACAATGGTATTGGTATAATTATTCAAAAAAATTGAAAATGGTGCACAGAGATATAATATTATCCATAAAAATATTTTCATTAATAGAAAGTGAAGCCTGATTTGAAATTATCAAAAAGAACTACTCATAAAACATTAAATTTATATGATTATAGATCAAAGATTGAAAACGGTTGACTGAAAAAAGTCAAAACTGGATAAATACTCTGGGACGGAGATAATATAACTTTTGAAGTGCTCCAAGTAATATTTTAAATACATAATTCATATTTGTTATTTTCATATTAATTTATAAATAAAGTAGATTTAAAAACACCATATTTTACACGTGAAATTTCTTGAAAAGGCATGCTAGGGTACACCAAAAATGTGGTATCTCATTTCTATATCAGGCAAACACAGATATTTAGTGTTTGTGATCTACAGACACTAATTATCTGTATTTGCCCGTGTTTGCCCGATGTACAAATGGGTACCCAACTTTGGTATAGCCCTACATTTATTCTTTCTTGAATGGTGAAATTTGAGGAGAAAAGAAAAGAAAGGCTTACTGGGGTCAATATCAGTCAAATTTGCAGTCCCACTAAAGTCACAATTCCCCCCACAGAAACGCATCCTCTGGAAGTACTCATTGAACGCAAACGAAGCTCTGTTTTTCACGCTGTCCCCGTAACAGGGATTCCTCGGAGATTCTATCGCCGAGCAGTTCGTTTCTCCGGGCCCGCACGCCCAGTCGATCCCGCCTTGCAGACCTTGATCCTTCGCCTCCGCCCTCGCCACGCAGAACCCCGGGAACGACGAGTTCACCCGAACCTTCCCCGGCGAACCGGTCGTGAAATTCAGGGGATACACCGGCGACCCGTCGGAGAAGAAGGCTCCCCAGCTTCTCTCCGAAACCGGCCCGGGCATGTCGTCTTCGTTGTACATCTCGTAGATGTACACGTTCATCGGGATCTCCTTCCGGCTCGGCGGACCCGACCCGTTCAGGACCCGCTGGATCAGGTTGTTGTTGTAGGCCTCCGCGTTTTTCACCGTCGCCTGGGACTCTGTTTCGTTGTCGCCGGCCCACGGCCACCCGGTCTCCGACACGACGACGGGGATGTGCCGGAATTCCAGGGCCGACATGGCGAAATACGTGGCGTCTATCAAGGAATCCAGCATGTTCTCGTACTGGAAATCCGTGTTTGAGTCCGTGATTTTCTGCCCCGGCTGGAACAGAGCATACTCGATCGGGAAAACGCCGCCGGAGTCGACGTATTGACGGTACGGGTAGGCGTTGACCATGTAGAATGAATCCGTGTTTTTCAGGAACTGGAGGAGTCGCCGGAGTGTGGATTCCCGGCTGAACTTCGCGGTGGAAGGCGGGAATGTGCCCACCATCACCTCCGTCGTCTGGGGTGCAGAGACTTTCACTTTCTGGCTCAGCTTCGCGGCGACTAAGGCTTTGTGAAGGTTGTTCATCGCCGGGACGAGAAAACGGGACTCGTTCTTCGGGAGCATAGTGAGGAACTCGTTGCCGACGGCGATGGCGGTTATATTTGTTGCCGGAGAGAGTTCGACGACGATCTCCTTCACCCACCGCGCGGCTTTAGAAGGGTAATTAGCGAAGTATTTTACCTCGTCGTTGGTGACGCCGACGACGACCTGGATTCCGGTGAGGGAGAGAGCTCTGAGAAGCTTGACGTCGGCGTAGTAGAGACGGACGTGGTTTATTTGGTGGGCTTTTAGAAGCGCCACCACTTTTGCGGCGGAAGGTCGGGGCCTTTTTATGTCCATTCCGATATTCATCCCCACGTATGCACCTGTAAATTCAGCAAGTAAAAACTATTTACCATCTAATTTACCTAAATATGACTAAAATATACTCCGTAATTACTTTCTCAATATAATACGGAGTACCATATATTTTTATTTTCCAATGTAGGATCATTGGTCATTATCTATTAGTCATTATTCAACTAAATATCCAACATCACTTGGACATTATTTTTCTCACTAGTCATTATTAAGTTCTATTTAGAAAATAAAAAATTTAAGTCCTACATTAGAAATGACTTATGTTTTAGTCCTATTCACTGCAAATGTTACATCTTGATATTCACTATGAATAAATCAAACGATATACCGGAATAATGTAAAGGTGTGTTTGGTAAGCCAATAAGATAAGAGTTTGGATTTCTTCAGGAAATAAATTTGTTTTTAGGTATTTTGTAAAATGAAAAAATGTCGAATTTGATATGTTCAGATGTCATAAATTAAATCATGATTTTAAATCTCAATCATCATTGTTACGGTCATACCCTCTTATCATTAATTAAATCATAATTTTAAATCTCTTCAAAAAAATTCATTTTGAATTTCAAAATCTATATCATTTTTCTCAGATTTAATAACTCATATCTTATCATATCTCCAAAACTCATAAAATGTACTTTAGATATTACTCCCTCCGTCCTAAAATGTTCTTCCTAGTTACTTTTCACACGGTCAAACTTTAATTACTTTATTTACCTATTTTCATTAGGTATTTGATAAAATAATATAGTCCTGTCACTAGTCATTTTGTAGAATTTTTGGTGTAGTTTTTAAATATAAAAAATTTATTTTTTAATTTTACATCTACAATTAAATAAATTGAATTGAAAATAAAGTCGGTCAAACCTCGTAAACACAAACGGGAAGAACATTATAGGACGGAAGGAGTAGTATTGGCATTGCCTATTATTCCATCCGTTCTAAAATAAACTTCCTGCTTTGATTTTACACGCAAATTAAGGCAAAATAAAAATTGTTTCTTTCAATATTTGTCCCTTGGGTTTTGCAAAAAAGTAAAATAAAGTGTATGTATATATAGTAATTAATGAGTACATTAAGGTGGAGGTAGTGATGTGGTTTAAACAAAAGGCATTTACCAAAAAAAAGAAACAAGAAGATAATTTATGAACGGACAAATAAGAAAAGTGGGAAGATACACTTTGGATGCATGGATAGCATATAATAGTACTCTCTTCGTCCCTAAAAGATTGTCACTGTTTGAATTGTTTAATCAGATTATGACACTTTTTTACCACGCATTAAATATTATAAGAATTTGATATTTCAAAACTATAGTTTAAAATAAACCAAATTTTACGACATCGTAATTATAAGTAAACATACTATTTTCATAATTCACGGTCAAAATAGTTAAACTGTGATAATTTTTTAGAGACAGAGAAAGTATTTCTTTTGATAGTCCGTAGTGAAATACTCCGTATATTTAAGTCCTACTCCTAGTTCACTATTTCTCCAAATGTTAAACTTATCTCAATTCTCAATCCTTCAATAATGATTAATGAGTGTATCCCACCCTCAAAAAGTGAGACAAATGTTGAATTTCTTGGCCTCCTCAAGACCAAAAAACAAGTCAAGAATAGGAAGACTATATTGGACAATAAGATATATGTATTACTCCTTCCGTCCTAAAAAAAGAAAAGAAATCAAAGTAAAAAAAACATAGAACATATATCAAAAAAAGACTTTCTAAGTATGTATTTCTCAAATATAGAGTTATAGTTCTAGCATCGTGTATTACTCCCTCCGTCCTAAAATTAACTTCTCATTTGACTTTTCACGGTCTCCAATGTGACACTTTGACCATCAATATCTCAATTTTTATATAAATATATTTTATAAAAATTATATTATTTCAAAACTATATTCCAAAATGAATCTAATCCTAATAAATTTATATGAAAATTCAATGTATTTTTTTCTTAATTTACGGTCAAAGTTTAAAAAGTTTGACTGCAAAAGTCAAACTGGGAAATTAATTTTAGGACGGAGGGAGTACCATTTAATGGTTTTTTTTGGTATTATTTTGATCATTAAAAGTCTTATTTTTACATTAAAACATTAAAAAAATTACATTTTCATATTGAATTATTTTTTTAGTCCTAATTTACTATTTCTCCAAATGCTATTGAATAAATAATGCAAAAGATTAGTTGAATTACTGGTACATACCTTCTAATAAAGAGGACAACAAACCCCCAAATATTAGGATGAAAGTTGCCAACTCCAGTTTCACCATCCTTAGCTGAGCCACTTTGATCACTCCGCTTTCTCCCAATACTCACACCATGAAAAATCACCAACTTGATCTCTATAAAATGGAAGAAATTATTTATAAAAAAATCACAAAATCACTCAGAAAATTGTACGGTGTTATATACTCCGTAATTCCACCCAGATTGAATTAATGACAATCACTGCTTCCAGAATTGACATATGTTTATATCAGGGCTTCCCGCCTCCGGGTCGAACGACTGATACGGTCAAACATATAAAAATTTAGGAAGCAGTGGTGTCTTGAGTATCTTTACTCGTTCTATGAGCGATTATGTAAAATCGCACAGTTCTGAACGTTACGATGAAATTTTTTCTCCAATTTTAACGAATTGAACACAGTAAATAATATTTGAATGCATATATGTAAAATGTGTGTGTACCTGAGAAAATAACAATGGAGATGGGTGGAGAAGACCAAAGGGCAAGAATTTGAAGAGACCCTCCAAAGGTGAAAATGTAAATATATGGGGAAGACAGTGAAACCCCACAAAAGTAAATCTCTCTTTTTTTTACTTTTACATCATTGTCTTGTGTGAAGGGGTAGACTTTTACGGGGGGGTGTTTTAACAAAGGTTGTAGGCCTTTGGGACCCTTCGTGATTTTCGGATTGTGTTTTTTGGGGCGCGGAGGGACCCCTATACCTCCATCCAAATCTCCAATAGGTATGGACCGAGTCTCGTTCCGGTATCCAGAAGGGTGAAATCTTAAGCGGAATTTCTTTCGAGCGATTCAGTTTAGATCTTGGTTTTTTGATTGGTTCTGATTTGATTCGGAGAAGAATGTTAACTAGAATTTCTCGGTACTCGCTAGTTGTCTGATTTTGATTCCGGGCTGATTCTTGCTCCAGTTTGAAATCAGATTTGCATTTATTTATTTATTTCAAAAGAAAAAATCATGCAAACTTGTCATTGGTGAATATGATTTTTTAAAGACCATTTTGCTCTTTTGATTAATTTACAAATAGCTAGTTTTTATAATTTTTTGTGATTCTAACAGTTCTCTTTAGAGTACATTAAAAACAAACGGGATTGAAGTAGGACACAAAATGCCTATTTTGATTCTCAAAAAGCAAGAATCCTTCCTCGACTTGTATGGTTCCAAGTCGGGGTGGGTTTGGTTTTCACCCAAAACCAAAGACAAAATGGAAGAAAAGTTGGCGGTTCGGTTCGTTTTAGTTTTGTACCAAAATATGTAAACGGCTAGCTAGTTATTTGGATCGGTTTTATGCAGCTTTATTTCGAATTTTAAAAAAATTTATAAGCATAAAAAATTGTGACAACACAACTCGATGAAGCTGTAAAAATATGTGGGATTGAGATTGATTTTTTACCCAAAATAAAAAACCGAAAAATGTGTTAGAGTTCAATTAAGTTCCATTTTATGTATAAAAAAATGTGTCGAGTGCCTAACAAACATCTAGAGGATTCCAACTGCCCAAGCATTCGTATGTAAACATTAACTGTGGAGAATTTACATTTTTTTATAATACTTTCATTTCCATTATAACATCAAATTGTTTTCATGTAAATATATACTCCCTCCGTTCTCAAAAACTCTTCTTCTTTCATTTTTTTACTTCCAACAAAACACTTCCACTTTCTATTAAAAACCCAATTTTACCCTTACTTTTTCATACTCTACCTATCACATCATACTTTTCTCTAATACTCAATCCATCACATCTTACTTTTACTCATCACATCAAGGCAAATTGGAAGTCAACTACAATTTAACACTTCCTTATTTTTACACAAAGTCAAAATAGGAATACTTTTATAGAACGGAGAGAGTATGTGAATTACTCATATAAATTTTTAATGTTAATATAACTCCATATTAGGATTAGTTATTGGTATTTAAATTCCTAGATTTTTTTAAAGTTTAAAACATGGTTTAAAATGATTAATAGTTAATAAAAAATAACTTTAATCAGTTAATCAGTTTTTTGTATTTATATTTATATGATATATTTTCACATATCACATATACTCATATATATATATATATATATATATATATATATATATATATATATATATATAAAGGAAAGTACCTAAGAGAGAGTGGTTTATTCGGTTCGGTTCGGTTTTTCAAAGTGAAAATCAAAACAGAAACCAAACAATAACAATTTGGCTTTTTTATATTCGGTTTTGGTTTTTTCATTTTAGTTTTTTTCTAGCTTATTTTGATCGGTTACGATTCAACTTGCGGTTTTCGGTTTCCCCAACCCACCCCTAGTACTTCCAAGGACCCTCCCCACCAATCTATTTTATTTTTAAAGTTTCTATATTACACCAACTATTTACAAATTTTAATGTAAAAAAAGGATTGTTTACTAAATTTAAATATTTTTTCTTCAAAAAAATTGAATTGGACTATTTAATATTCACATGTTCTTTCTGTACCAAAAAAGATTACAACTCTAGAATAATGAGGCGAATTTTTAGTTTTTGAAATCATTTTCTTAAAAAAATGGTATAAGAATAAAAATTAAACTTACATATTAAAAAACAACATCAAGAGTTTTACGATAAATACGTCACAAGAATATTTTATTTTTATCAAGTAATCTTTGAAAACATATAAATAAATACGTAGTAAAAATTATAAAAAAGTGAGAGAAAAAAGGTATATTTGATCACGGGAAGAAAGGAATACATGACCATGTAAAGAAAAAAAGGATTAAATTAAAGTTTAAGCCAAATGTTAGTTTAAAGTTATAGAACTCATTGGTCATTCAATTCAATTATTCACCTAAGAGTCTAAAACCATCCTCACATTTGTTAATGACTATTTATAAGTACAAGGATTTCGTGGATGATGAGAAGTACTGAATATGAGGGTTGGACTAAAAAATAATACTCCCTCCGTCCGAAAATATTCTTCTCACTTTTCTTTTTGGTCCGTCCGGAAATATTCTTCCCATTTCCTTTTTTAGTATACTTTTTAAGGATAAATATCAATAATACTCTTCTATTTTATCACAAATCTACTTTTTAAATACTTTTTTAATAATAAAAGGAGATTTAAAAGTTTATAGTATATGCGTTTTTGAAAATTTTGCATTTTTTTACTATTCCTTAATAAGCGTGCCAAGTCAACACGGGAAGAATATTTCCGGACGGAGGGAGTACACTTTATCTTATTTTTAAAATAAACACTATCTTTTGACTAAAAGAAAAGTAATGTCTTCGTTTAAAAAAAATATCCTTTAATTTTTAAGGAAGTTAAAACAAATAAAAATGTAATAAAGTTAGAATTTGTTTAGATGATCTCTTATAAGCTACATGTTCATCATTTCTAGAAAAGAAAATAAAGCCGATGGGAAATATATTTTGTGCAATCCAAAAATGAAAATTGGGTTTAAAAAAAGCTTTGGGACATATGGAGCATATTGAGGCTCTGTTCATTTGGGTTATAAAAACGGAGTTTGAATATTGTAAGAAAGTAGGATTTGGAAAAATAAATTGTTAAAAAAATTCTTCAATTAAAAAAAACTCAAATAAATATTAAAAAAATTAATCTTGGATAAAAAAGAATTTATCTTTATCTGTGTTTGAGGTGTATATTTTGTTATAAATTTGCGTATATAATGTTATTGTATATTCATCTATTGTACATACTTTTTTCAGCCATTGATGGAAGGAGTTGGAAGTTAATTTTTTCAACTCAAATAAATAAACTCTCTACAAAATTCACTTTTTCATTTTTTTCTCTCTTAACAAAATTATTTTCCTTTCATGAAAAAAATATGTGGCTCAGAATATTATTCCCATTTTAACAAATTTTATCCAAACTTATCTTTTTATTTTTAACATTTTCTAAAAATTTTGTAAAAAAACAAATATAAAAACATGGGTAAATTTCACAAAGAATCCCTTATGATGGAGTGTTTTTTCATATATTGTCTACCATTCTAAAAAAATTATATTCGTGATCCCCAATATTTGAAAAATATTTCATAATTAGTTCTTTGAGGGTAAATTCTTCCGTAAACCTAAGGTTCATGCTTATTTTATGGACATTAGTGCATTTGTAGCATAAAAAAGTGAGTTTCTTACAAAATACGGAGTTGAAAATATCCACATGGAAACTCATAAAAATGTAAGAAGGTCCATATTTTAAATGTGACTTTGGGACCATGCAAGCATTACACTTCTTTGATAACTATATGTGAAAATTAATATTTGTATCAAAACACAAAACACTGATTATAGAATAATTCTAAAATATCGAGACCAAGAATGTAATTTCTTAAAATTATAGACTATATATAAAAATACACTACATTGTAAGAAATCATTTATGAAGTTTATTATAAACACAATTTATGAGAAGAATTAGTCAAAAAATGGAAAAGAATTTACCATTAAACTTGTATCCATTAAATTAAAAGTATTGTGTGGTGGACATAAGGTCTAGATAGACCTTCTCACATATATTTTTTTAATTTTAAAAAGATTTACTTCAACATTTGATAATGTTTATTTAGTATACATGAAGGTCCACCATGGACCCTACGTGCATGTAATAATTTGGCTTAAATCAAAACAATATTTTAATGGACTGGATAGAAATTTCTCCCATTTTTCCTAGACTAAACCCCTAAATTAAACTTCTCGACCAAAATAAGTATTCTTTTTTCACTTTAATTTAACTTTTTTCACTCGAAATCCAATTTTAAATCTTTTTTAAAATAAGGTTATCTCTACAATATATAATACGGAGTAACGTTTTTTTCACTCGAAATCTTATTTCCCCCTAACCAAACATTGGTGATGTATATATGCAAATCTTGGAGAGCATGCCAAAGCCATTCTTTTCTTCAATGTCACATACACCAATTTTAATTCTTAAATCAACTCACAGTTCAAGCATATATATTATTCCATTACACACATCCCATATATATATATATCAGCCATTAAAGCCAATGCTTTTAATATAACCTTGCATTAATCATTCATTATATTGCCAATCACATATACAACAAATTAACAAACAAAAAAAACTAACCAAGTACAAAATTGAATTAACCTATTTTTATTTTTTTCTGTTTTTTTGATTTTATTCTTATTCATAAGTATACACAATGAACCCTTCTTCGTCTTCTTCCCGTGTCCGACTCCCATCGCCGCCCCTTCATAGTAGATCCAAGCGCATGCTCGGCGGTGGAAATGGTATGGTGATACAACTTTAATTTGTTTTATAAAAGATCGTTCCTTCTGTTTAGACTTTAAGGTTCAAATTTTAAAAATGTTGACTACAATGTATACAAATAAAAGTTTGTTAGAAAATATAGTTTTGATATTTCAAATATTTACTTTTTCTATCTCAGTTCTTTCATTTCAATTTGACTTTTGTGGTTAACGGTTTTAAACTTTGACTATAAATTACGGGAAAAGTACATTTAGTTATTATATAAAATTTAATACCAACTGAAACGTAGTTTTGAAATATCATATTTGCATCATCTACGTAATATATAAATAGAAATATTAATGATCAAATTGTTTTATATTGAAGGCCATAAAAGTCAAATCAAAAGACAAATATGGGACATAGGGAGTACCACATTATTTATTTAAAACTATATTTGTTAAGGATTATAGTGTATAAGAAGTTGATCAAAAAATCAAAGAAGAAAGGTCTTTTAGAAATGGAGGAAGTATTATTTTTGAATTAATGGTATCTCACCATTCCATTCCAAATTTGAGTGATTAATTGTCATTCATTCTTATGCAAGAATGATATATGCATAAACCCTCTCTCTGTCCCTCTTGAATCAATCATTGCACTCGATCAGCTTATCATCACAAGATAATTCTCGTATTTCTTTACTTTCCTGATTCTCGTATTTCTTTACTTTCCTAATAAAGTAAAAAATATGTAGTCTCACGTCTCTAATCTATCTCTTATATTCAAAATGTCAACCATTCGTTTTTTTAATTCTTAACAATTTTACTATGTACGTAGTACTCCCTCCGTCCCAAAAAGAATGGGATAGTTTGACTTTTTGGGAAATTAAGGGAGGGATATTTTAGTATTGACTTTCCAAAAATACCCTTGATGTGATGGGTAAAAGTAGGATGTGATGGGTAGATTATTAAGAAAAAGGTATGATGTGATAGGTAGGGTATGAAAAAGTAAGGGATAAAAGTGGTTTTTTAATAGAAATGTAATGGACTTTACGGAACGCAGTTTTTTCTAAACGTAACAAACTTTTTGGGACGGAGAGAGTATTAAACTCGAATCAGTGAAGTCATATTGTGCCAATTAATTTGAAATGGCTGGAATATACTCCGTATATATTTATTAATTTACTTTAATTTAATACTTCCTTTGTCTTAGAGTATGTGTCTACTTTTAAATTTTTTTGTCAAAATTGGTAAACTTTGACCCAAAACTAAATAAAAAATGATATTAGATACAGATACAAAAATTGTTTTATCATATTTATTATACAAAACATTTTCAAAATATTATTTTATTTAATTAATATACAATATCTATTTTATTTAGTTATAGGTCAAATGTTAAAAATGATTGAATGAAAAAAGTCTAAACTGGACAAATGATATCAGACCAGAGGTAGCATATTATTGGTGTTAGTGTTGTAGGTAGTGACACATTTGAATAATTAGCAAATTATGCTTTAATTTGATGATGATTAATATAAATTATTATTATTATTACTTGTAGTGGCTGATTTACTGCTGTGGAAGAACAAGCAAGTGTCAGCAGCAATGGTGATTGGAGTGACACTTGTATGGTTCCTATTGGAAGTGGAGGAATTTACCGTTGTGTCCCTCTTGTCTTACCTCTCCATCTTTGCCATGGCCCTCCTTTTCCTCTGGTCCACCGCCTCTTCACTTTTTGACATCTGGTAATTCACTAATTAATTAATTAAACACAGTTTTTTTGGAGTTTAAATCATAATTTTGGAGGATTAAAATTAATTAGCCTAAATTGTGAATAAACTAATTAGTGCTTTTTTTAAAAAATTATACTCCGTATTTAATTACGAAAAATATTATAAATGACATTCGTGCTGCTACCGTCATTTGCTTACACCAGCTCGTTTGGGTACTTACATTGTCTCGTATTTAATTAAAAAGATGTCCAAAATGACACATTCGCCCCTTCCTAAACGGGGCAGGAGCCATAATTTTTACCAACGGAAAAACTACGGTGTTTCCGAACGTATTGATATATAAGTAATTTATGTTATTTTAGATGTTCTCTTTAATTAATTAATTACTCCGAATTATAATTAAATCTTTAGGAGCCCTCCGGATTTGGAAGATGTGGCAATACCAGAGTCAACAATCAAATGGTTATTTGGGAAGCTCAATAAGTTCCTATTGACATTCTATGAAGTGGCTTCTGGCAAAGATTTGAGAAAATTTATCTTGGTAATAATCATATATATATATATATATATATATATATATATATATATATATATATATATATATATATATTCATTTCATTTCTTCTTTAAAAAAACTATTTCCAAAATAGTTTTATTTATTTACCACTAACATTTTCATCTCTCCTTGTAGGCAATAACTGTCCTTTGGATACTATCAGTAATTGGAAATTACTTCAACTTCTTGAATCTTGTATACACGGGTAACTAATTTATCATATATTTCCTCCGTCCCAAATAAAAACTGATTGATATATTTGTTAATATAGAAAAAGTGTCTGAATTTGTAATGTTTATAATTGACTGTGTATTTTAACATGTATGGAACATTCTAAAAAAACATTATTAATTCTCGCGGTCAGTCAAAGTCTGGACATGACATATTCAACGAGAAAAAGAAAGAGAATAAAATTCTACTTTTTGTTCAAACATTTTTTTTCAACGATAATATTTTTATTTCCAAATACTTGCAATTTTTAAAGAGGTAAAATCTGCTATGATCATTAAGGTTACTTGATTAATTATATTTTCCATTTAACTATTTGGTTGTAAATAATAATTAATACTTAAATTGATGTGTTTTAGGATTTATCTGTCTCGCGACAATACCAGCAATTTATGAAAGGTATGAAAGCGACGTGAACCGTTTGGCAAGCAAAGGTTATGAAGATTTTAAGGTTCTGTATGAAAAAAGTGGCCTCAAAGCTCAATTTGACAAGATTCCTAAAAAACCCCTCAAGCAAAGAAAGATTGCTTAACTATATTTATTTAGTTGGCTATATATAAATGTGTGTGTGTGTGTATGCATTATATGTATGTTTAGTACGTGTGAAATCATCAATGTGCTTGTTGAATAAAAGAAAGATTATTTCATCTAGTTGTGTCAATATATACGAACACTCTCAGCCCAAGTTTGTCAAAACACTTTTGTTCGAAAAAGAAATATTATAACAATTGACAAAAGTTAACATTAAAAACATTAAAAGGAAATTAGGACGCATCTATAAATATACATAGTACTATATTGGAAAATGGGAAATCACTATGTTTTGGAGTTATTAAAGTAAATTCTTCTTTATTACGAAGTACGGAGTAAAATTTATGCTGAGTCAAACCAAAAACATTAAACTCTCGAAGGAAGTAATTTTTTAATTCCATATTAATTGAGTTCAAAACACCTTAATCATTATATCCTAAATTACAACAGACAACTTAAATCTATGAGTGGACCAATCTAGAAAAGTACACACTACGTATTTGTCTATTTTTAAATTTTTTTGATCATAATTAATACAGAGTAAACATTAACTCAAAATTAAATAAAAATAATATTCTGTATTAAAGTCAATTATAAATACGAGGTGCAATTGACGTAAGTGGGTGATTAGTTTAGATCAGGACTTGACAGGTAATTTACGGGGGAGTTTAGAGGGGGTAAGAATTTATACAACTTGACCAAAAAAAATTTAGAACCAAAATAAAAAATCACTTTTCTAAAGAAATCAAAAACATATTTAACCCAAAAAATTGGAAACAACTTTTCAACAGAACTGGGAAAAAATAATATGATGAAAACATTTTCTCGCTCCATTAGAAAAGAAACAAGGCAATTCCAGTTACAAACAACCCTAGAAAGAAGAAGATAAATTAGTCATGTCACATCTCTCACACAAACATAAAAGCTAGACCCCAAAGGAATCACCCCTCAATAAGACAAGAGTGCATTTAAAGGTAGCACAGCTACAAGAGACACAATATAAACTCAGCTCGCCTGCAACAAGCCTGCAACTTCTAGAGAGAGAGAGAGAGAGATTAACTTTCGGGGTATTCTGGCGGGCCATCGTAGTTCCTACCCCTTGCGCCTCCACCAGGGCTCCTGCTTTTGGGGTGTGGGGGAGAACGGGCTCTCCTGCCACCTGGACTTCTGCTGGCACTCCTAGAGTAAGGTGGCGAATGATCCCTCACTGGAGTTTGGCTACGGCTCCTCGACCCATCGTGATAAACTGGGGACCGATCTGGAGAATGCGAGTATGATCTCTCCCTGCTTCTTCTCCCATCTGGAGAGACAGACCTGCACATTTTACAAAGGTCTTAACATTAGTGGAAGGAAGGAAGCAAGTACCTAGACCACTAGTCCACCATTAGTCCAAATGAATGGTGTTTCTGTACATTGGCACAAATACTCGTTTTCGAGCAACTGAACTACTCATTTTTAAATAACGAAATAATCATTTACCAATAACTACATACCCATTTTCAGGGCATAACTAAATTTTAGAAAAATGAGTATTTTGATACTCGAAAATGAGTATTCAGTTGCTCAAAAAATGAGTATTCAGTTACTCATAAATGAGTACTAAGCTACAGATGTACAAGAAACACCACATAACCGGTTACATGGTATATATTGCGCTCTGTGGGTATCACGGTTACAAAAAAACAAGAGGTGATTGGACATATACCTAGAGTAGTCTCTTCTCCTTGGAGAGTAGTAATCACGGCTGCGAGATCTTGCATAACGGGATGGTGGAGAACGTGAGTAGCGAGGAGAACGTCTCCTCTCATAACTGCGCCCACCCCTGGTATCAATCAAGTGAAGAACCCAACAATGAGAACTACTTGACATACAATCTATTAAGGATCCATTTCCCCTGGCTTCTAAAAAGCTAATTCTGCTCAATCTCATGCCAAGATCAGAGTGTTGCTTTCATTTTAGATTCTGAAAAGATCAGTAGTTATTTTGTTTCCCAGAATCTGTTTTTCAAAAGTAATCAAGCGTTGGATTTTCCTAAATCTAAAAATGCTGGGGAAATGCAGAACCAATGCCTTAATCTCTACATATCACCCTGTCATAGGGTACTCGTGATATTAATATAAGCTAATTCACACTTACTCAGCTGAACATGATTCCATCAAATGATATTATTTCAAGAAATCCAAATATGATATAAGAGTTTTATTTTGATAGAGCTGGTCTGTTTTTAAAAGGAAGAAAATTACATTTCAGCCAAGTTATCATGTAAAACAAATTCATTGTCCATGTACTCATTAATATTCGGGTACTCAGGTAGTTAGGACTAAAATGATGCTTGGTATTTGAAAATAATTCCTTCAAATATTTTGCATAACAGACCTGTGCTCCCGAGCTCGCATTTCAGTTGGCTTTTTCCTGTTCTCCTCAGCAAAAACAACAGTTAGCTGCCGACCATGAAAAGTTTGACCATCCATCTGATACTTGGCCTCGGCAGCATCATCAGGTTCAATGTATTGGACAAAACCAAATCCTCTTGGTTCACTGCAAATATAGTAAATGTTGTGGGAATGTGACAAACATAGTCAGGTAACTGAATGATCTTGTGTCATATCCATTGTCAAACACAAAAAAGTTTGACTACCAAGTATCAACTTAAACCTAAAACAAAACAGCAAGAATTGGAGAACAATATTTCATGCCAACATGTGGTCATGCCATGAGTGTTAAAAGCAGTTCAGTGATGTCTGAAAATTGAATGAAATGGAAGGCCATGATAAGTGCATAAGCAAGCACATGGCTGCTGACCTTGATAGTTTGAGTTTAAAGATGGCTTGAAATTCTTCAAGACTTGAAATCTTGATATCTTCACATTGTATTCATATCCAAAATCCTTCCAACCTTCACTACCATTAACATCACCTTGAACTCTTTACTTACTGATTGATGTCAACAGAACTCTTACTCTACTTGAATGTCAACAGAACTCTTAATACTTCATTCACGTCTTCATAACTCTTTTTCACTGCTAAATCTCAACAGTTTTAATAAACCCCTAATTTGTATATAAAATGAATAAAGTTGAACCAACCACCATATTGAAATCCTTAATTCTATTGAAAACATGAATGACATGCAACTTATGAAATGTGAAGATGTATGACTTGCAGAAGAAATGATCATTTAAATTCCAAAACTTGGGGGATTGATGAAAACTAATCTCACCGAGTGTAATAATCCCTTGGCAGATAGATGTCCTTAAGAGGTCCAAATTGACCAAATGGCCTCCGCAGATCTTCAGGCCTGAATGAATCAAATATAAAAAAGAAAATATAGATACATCATAAGTGCATACATGTTCCAAAGAGTAAAGTTCCTAGTGCGTACAAGGGTTGTGCAAAAAAACAAAAAACAGTAAAGAGGAATAGACCAGACAAAGAAGCAAAAAAAATTCTGGCATCAATGAAAGACTTGTCAAGGCGCGGATATAGAAATTTCAATGACAAAAGGATCCAAACATATATCAATGGTAAATGAACATTTATTTGGCATGTTTCAGAACCTGTTTAAAAATATAAGATATATACCATTATACCATAGGTTGTAAATCATTCATGAACAAATGGCAGTATAACAATTGTCCACTATTATGAAAAAAAAACCCTTAACTATCATAATGCAATGGTTGGATTTTGGAAAAGGAAAATTATATACAACCAGTTAATAAATAAATCTAGAATGACATGATGTTTCATTGGCACATGTTTATCTAAATAATAACACCAAATAGAACTCAAATATATAATATTAATTAGTATACGACTCTATAGTCCATACCGACAATCCCGTCGAAGATTACGAACTAAAAGACTAGTTGGTCCATCTCTAGCACGTCCCGCATAGCGACCTCTGGGACTTGGGCTTCGTACGCGTCTGCCATATCCACCTCTAGGTGGTGGGGTTGGACTGTAGCTTCTTCCCCTCATTGCTGTAGGGTAAAGGTCTGACAAATGGAGGACACAAAGAAATAAGCATCCTGATAACCACATTAATAGGTAGCAAAACAGATTGATTTCACCCTCTACAAACAATGCAAGCCATGAGTAGGTTGTCTTTCAATTTGAATAAGAATATGATATTTTGTTGCTTAGGATCATGGAAGAAAACTAATTGCATTGGGCAAAGCTCGGATGGAAGCAATGCAAATAACATAAAGGAGGGCAAAAGAGAATGATCAGCTAGAGCTAATACATTCCAAAGTTCAATTATTTGAACCATCAATAGGACATAGATATCATCACTTCAATCTACAGTGCATACAAAAATACAATGCACAAGAACTAGAATCATAAAAAGTGCTGCTTGAAGGTAATATAGAGAATGATCAGCAAGCACAAATACGCAGGTCAATTGCTATGATACAAGTTATGTCACTAAGCTTTTAGGTTATGCATCAACTCATCTTCTTAGCCCTCAAACATCAAAGTGAAGCATATCTATCACAAAAATGCCATAGAATTCAAGTGAATAAACCATAAGAACATATTCAAAAGCAAACAAATTTTGTGATATACCAGCCTCACAGTGACGGGTGTCTATATTATTGACAAACCATGTAAGCCGAATACACTAAATTTAAAGGAACAACTCTGCAAAATGAGATCTGAAACTGCAAAAGATACATCTTTATGTCACAGAAAATAATTTGTTCTCATTCACAGATATGAAGATTACTTCTCGATTTCAATTCACAAACTGCAACGATTATTGGACTAAAAGTGACAAAATCGATGGTTAAAAGCTACGAATAACTTCGAAATTGAACAAGCAAACCGCAAAAGAAAAAAGGAAGAAACTTGTAACCCTAAATTTAACATTTACTCATTCCATGCGAGACGGAGACCAAATCAGAAACTACAGAGGCAAGGATTACCTCAGAGAACGAAGACGCAGGTGGGCGACGGCGGTGAGAGATGGCGATGAAAAGGCGGGTCGGAATTAGGGCACGCACCGGGTTTATATATAATAAATGCAGGATTGCTTTGCCTTAAATGCAATTTCACCTCTAGACTTTTGTGACATTGCATTTCACCCCCTACAATTTTACATAATCTACGGCTGCTTTCATAACCCAAGATTTTGAGAATATCATGCCTCAAGTTTTGTAAATACACCAAAAGATTGTCTGTCCGACACAGACAATAATAATCTGATTTGTACAAAATTTTTGTGATTGGTAATTCTAAGGGTTAGGCCATCCTTATAACAATTTACTTGTAATACATGTGGTGTTTCACATGTAAAATTGATCGTTTTTACACTTCTAACACCCTTCTATAGCTTCACCTAGCCCCAGCCCCAGTCTTTCTGCACCCCCACCCCCTCCCTTAATCATTGTTTTAGCAATTTAAAACTATCAATTTTACAAACGGGACTCAGTGAGGTCTCAGGGGGTGGGTGAGGTCTCAAGAGGTAAAAATTATCAAATTTACAAACGAGGCACTACAGGTACCACATTCGATTTGTTGTTGGCTTGTTTTTTCATAAGTTTATCCTTTCTCAATTTTAAAATATCGGAGTTATTCTCATTATATTATTAAAGATTATATTGGAAGCATGTTAGCGTAATGATAATGAAGTCACCATAAATTTCTCCATATCGAAATATTCTTTATCCTATAATCCTTATATATTGTTTAGGTAATCTAAAAAGACAATAAAAAGAAGAAATATATATATATATATATATATATATATATATATATACAATGTAATGCTCCGTATTTGTATTTGTTTGAAGAGAAAAAAAGTACTCTAAAAAAAAGAAAAAAAGTGAGAGGAAAAAAAAGATGAATAAATACACTAGAGAAGTGAGATAAACGTTCTTCCAATTTGATGATAAAAATAATGGTATGTTTGAAAACTTAAATTTGGATTTCAGATCCAGATTTGATACAAATTACTTCTATAGAAACTCGGAGAATTTGGATTTGATTTGGACCAGATTCTTCTTATTCAAAATTAACTCAACTACAAATTCACACATCTCCACGCGTCATTTACAAATTCAAGCTCAACTTTTCTTTAATATAGAACTTGTAATTAAAAATTGATCTCTTCTAGTATAATAACAATTTCATACATATCAGTTCCCTTACGTAACCGTCTTTGTCGACTTCAAAATTTAAATTCTAGAACTGAATTCTATAATTATCCAAACAACACTTGGAATTTGAAATTACGAAATCTCATGTAACGCCCCAAAATATACCCTAAAATTTCTTGAATTAAATATTCAATTAAACAAAATTTGTTTTGATTAAAAGAAATTATTGTTGGGTTTTGGGCCGAAATAAAATGTGTTTTGATATCTAATATCACAAGCAGGATAAATCTCATAGAGATAAACCCAATATGTTGACTATTTGTGTGGTCTTGATTGGGAACCTGAGTACAGACCCAAATCAAGAATAAATTAAGAAATTGACTTGTGATGTAAATATTGAAAAGATTTACTAAAATAAATCATGGGAATAAATGATATGAATTAATTATGAGAACCTTTTTGAATAAAGGTCAATTGAATCAATTTTGACTCTGTCAAAGTCAAACACCCAAAAATATGATTTTGGAAAAAGTATAACGAATAAATGTAAAAATTATATCGTTGGATAGAGTTTAATTTCACGATCGCAACGGTTCAATCGGATTTCAATTTGGAGAAAGTTGGACCAAAAAGTGTACCCAATTGGAACCAAAATTAGTCCCAATCAGGGACTACACTCCAATCGGCGCTTACTGTTTAATCGGCGCACTAGCCGATTTGGGTGACTCAAGAATATTTCATCCATGTTTTCTTCTCCTTCCTTCCTCTATTTAAGAAATCATAATTCTCTCAATTCTCCACCAAATCATCCCAAATTTCTTCCTAAACTGCTGCCCTGGTGAGGAGAGTTTGCTGGTGTTTCCATTTCAGAGAGAGGTCGCCGGAGTTGAGAGTATTCGCCGCCGGAAGTTTTCCCGGAAAATTTCCAAAACCTTCATTAAGCTTCGAGATAAGCCCGTAGATATATCTAATGACTAGAATGTTCATATAGGTCGTTTCTACGTTCATAAATGGTTATTTGGTTGAGTTTTATGTTTGACATGTTTGAAGAACCAAGAATCATAAACTTTGAAATTGTTGTTAAAACTACAAATTAATGGTACCAAAATGATCTATGAACCTTGGAGAACCTTTTTGTATACTTTAATTGAAGTTTGGGAACTTAAAATGACATTTTCGCAAGTTGGCTCGAGATAGAAGACGATGGACAATCGATTATCAACTTGAAAATCGATTATTCATTGTTCTACAGATTTTTGGAATAAAGCTGAGCGATAATCGACTGTCAGAATGTGATAATCGATTATCAGCCCTCTCCGAAGTTGGATAATCGATTATCAGAGTGTGATAATCGATTATCAGACCATTCTGAACATCGAACAGTAGACTATCAGAAGTGACAGTAGACTGTCTCCCTACACTATTCAAGAAAATGAAGCCAATAGCCAACAAACGAGTTTCCTATCATATATTAATCAATTATTGTTTAGAAAACATGATTTTTAAACTATGAAATCCTATTTTTGATACCAATTGATTATGATCTTTATAAAGGTGAATTTTCATAATAAAAAA